AACCAAGATACATCATGTACAGGTACAAGCACCCAATGATAAATGTAAATGTATTGTATCCCTAAAATGTACCAATAAAAGAATTTAAACAAACAAAAAAAAAAGAATATTAGCGCAAGGGTGAGGGACTCTGATGATGTGGGTTCTTGTTAGTGTGGACATTGGTACACTTTTCGGGAAAAAGTCTTAGTTAATGAAACAAAAGATGTGCATACCCTTTGACCTAGCATTTCTACCTTTAGACTTACGAGCTAAAATGCAGAAAGATGTAGGTGGCTAAATATTTTTTCACAGCACCCTTGTTAACCTAGGAAATGTTCAATAAAACAAGGTATATCTTGAATGCTACACAGCTGCTGAAGAGAAATGCGGTAGCTTAGTATGTTCTGACATAGAAATCATGTTATGTTAAGTGGAATGAAGGAAAAATGCTAGTTTCAAAATGTCATGTTTAAGATTCAATTTTTATTTAAAATTATTTATAGCAAGGAGTTGGGGGAATAGCTACTGTTAGAATGCTGGCCAAGCATGTTTGACTAGCACCACAAAACAAACAGAAAACCAGAAAAAAGAAACATTCATAATGAAAGTGACGATATCCTCAGAGAAGAAAGATAATTTTGGAAGCATATAAATCAGAAAAACTATTGATTGTCTTTGAGGGACAGTATAAGTTTGCTAATATATATTAATGATACTCAAGTCTTGTGATGAATGCATATATAGTAATTAGGTAAAAATCAAGAAAGAGAACAAAAAGGTACAGATAGAGCTGAATGATTTATTACAATAGATCATAAGTTGTTTCCTTCACTTCCTTACATGGGGTGGTAATATAATAATTTCTGATACTAAATTTTAATTTACCTTCTGGGAATTCTGTGGTAGAGTAAACCCAAATAAATGGAAAATTTAAACCTCCTTGTGTCTATCCTTTTTTCCTTTTGTTCTTTCAGAAGACAATAGCTATGGAAAGACAAGGGCTCCAACGGAACTGTCTCACCAGAAGATGTTTTTGTTACTTAGGGTGCTTTATTGTTTGTCTTCCTAGTAAAAATCTTTGTCAGGATCAATTTCTTTGTCTGCAAAACAGCAGTTTCTTTGGTTTCTGTTGTTTCAAGATTATTAGTTTGGGATTATTAGTTTAAGGACAGTGCTTTTGCCTGGCATGTGCAAGACCTTGGATTTGATCACCAACACCAGAAAAAAAAAAAATTAGTGGTTTGTTGTCTCTAGAAGTTGCTTAAGATGTGCTTATAATGGAATTTTTTACATATACTCTTCCCTTAAAAGACTGAATAAAAAGTAAATTCATAAAGTAATAAACTGTGAAAGCTCCTTGATTTCAGTTAGAAAATGCGGTTTATAGCTACAATATTTATGTGTCCATGACTTCTGAACACCTGCATAATGACTGAATATGGACCATATTTTCCTGCCTTGACTCCTTAATCTACTTTTAATTCTCCACTCATATCTGAATAGTTATTTTTTACTATGTATAGCATAATTAATTTTATGCAACTTGATTTCACATAATGACTTTTTTCTGTGATTTGTTTACTCTCCTTGCTTTTTTGCGGGGGGGTACCAGGGACCTTGTGCTTGCAAGGCAGGTGGCAGAACCACTGGGCTAAGTCCCCGGCCTCTCCTTGCATTTCTTACAGAAGTCCTGGTGGAGATTTGGGAGCCAAAAAGAAAAAGAAGAAACAGAAGAGGAAAAAGGAGAAGCCAAATTCTGGAGGCACGAAGTCTGACTCTGCATCTGATTCTCAGGAGATTAAAATTCATCAGCCTTCAAAAGTAAGAGCCCTGTTTCATTGTCACCTGTGTGGTTGCTCATGAAGATAAGAGTTTGGGCAGTACAGCACGCTGTTGGACCAGGTGTGCAGTTAGCTCTTTGCTCTTGCAGAATGCCACCATCCCCATGCAGAAGCTGCAGGATATCCAGAGAGCGGTGGAGCTGCTATCGGCATGCCAGGGCCCAGCCAGGAACATTGATGAGGCAGCCAAACGCCGCTACCAGTTCTGGGACACACAGCCGGTACCCAAACTAAGTAAGTACTTCTGTTTTTGTTTTTGTTTTTGTTTTCTTTGTTTTTTTCTAAAACAAGGATAGAGTAACAATAATAATAATAAAACTCAAGGGAGACTTTACTTCATTTATATCACTTGTGCCATATCCTAGATTAAAAATGTACACAAAGCTCATATTTGTCTTCTTAAAATAAATAATAGGTAATGACATTGGATTTCACTAATAATGATTTTAGTCTAATTGCTATCCCTATTACAATATCCAGTTTCCCCACACTTGAATTGTAATATTAAATTACATATCACATATAAAGTCTGTTACACACACACACACACACACGTCTTCTCTCACCCTTCCTCTTTGCTTTTGAGCTTCATGATGTTTGTCTTAGTTAGTTTCTCACTTCTGGGATAGCAAAATACCCGACACCCACAAGTTAAAAGAGAAAAGATTTGATTTAGTTCAGAGGTTTCAGTCGGTAGTTGGCTGGCTCTAAGGAGGGCAGCATGGCAGTGGAGAAACAGTCCATAGCAGGGCAGGCAGGAGGCAGCAAGCAGCAGCCTCCCTTTCCCCTCTAGCCCATCCAGGCTACAAGCCTATTGGTTGGTGCCACACACACCGAAGGTAGGCCTTCTATTATTCACACCCAGAACTATGCTGAACTAATTTAGTTATCACACTCCCTAATCCCAAGATCCAGCCACCTCCCAAAAGCCCCACCTATGAGCGCATGAGGCTTCGGGTTGACATCTAGGTATAAGCCATAATAGAGTTCTTAACTGTAAACTTTACTGTTTTCACCCCTTGGTTATTACAAAAGATCCAGAAAATGTGTCTGCTAGTATTTACTGAAATAAAGAGTTTCGCACCATTTAACAAAAGGGTTCTGAACACTTACCAGAGGTGTTGATAGTATCAGCTCAGTACCATTCTGGTGTCATAAGAGCAGAACAGCTCTGGATGTGAAGGCTGTGTAAGACTTTGGTCCATCACAGGGTACTCCTTCCTTGTCACTGGGCCATTCTGTTACACTCATTTAGACTCTCACTGGATTAGTTTCCAGAAACCTAATTTACACCAAAATAGATGATGGCGTAATGTCATAAAATTGTTTAAAACGCATTACAACAGAAGTCTCCTGCTTTGTCTTATGTTATGTATGAAGATGCTATATAAGTATTTCAGCTTTGATTATTTGAGTTTTGGATCAGAATCATATAAAAGGTTAATTGCTGTCCAAACTCTAAATAGTCCAGCTACATACAAATAATCCACTTTGTGAAATATAAATAGAGGAGCAGTCCTTTTCCATGCCTTCAAATATTAATTCTTGAACTTTTTAGAGAGATTGAAGATGATATCAGAAAATGGACAGACATCCCCTGCTCCTGGGTAGGAAGGATTAATATAGTGAAAATGGCCATACTTCCAAAAC